TCCAGCTGACCATAGAGCCTCTGGGTTCCAGCTTCACGCTGCTCAATGTTGCCCTTGACAACGTCTCCTGGCTTTAGCTCTATCCACAACTCACCGCCTCGACTTGGAACTGTAACAGGGACCACATAGTTCTTTGTCCGAAAGTCGTTGTTTGTATCACGGTGCATCCCTTTTTGGGCATCACAGGTCACCAGCACTGATGTGAACACCGCCTCTGGGGCTATCTCCACAATGTAACGTACCAGCAACCTTGTAATCACTGGAAATTCTCGAAGTCCCATTAGCCATCCCACAGTTCCCCCATGTCTAAAGACACCAAACTTTCGCTTTTCGAAGAAGCCTTCTCTTGCCAGATTTTGAATTAGCTGCGTAGCTGCATCCAGTGACCAGCTGTCCAGAATGTTTTCTGCACGACGAATGGCTTCCTGATACATCTCCTCCTGAGACCCTGCAAGAGGCCTCATCTGAATCTCTTCAACTGGGGTCTTTGTCACCACCTTACGTAGCGGCTTGGGTGGCTCGATCTTGAACTCCTCCTCGGGACCTCCAGGTTCCACCAAGTTTGGTCTAACGTGCAGCATGTGCAAAAACTTCTCTGCCTCTACTCCATCACCTGGTAGATATACTAGATGCCCATTGTGCACCACCGTACTCAGTCCTGCGTATTGCCCTGTAGTCCACTTGCTTTCCAGTCCATGTTCTCGACGCAAAGGGCCATACTTGTCGAACGGCTTCTTTCGGAGGTGAACCTTTGCTCCAAATGGTGCTGCCAAGCTAGTTTTCCAGTTCAACACCTTAGCTCTCTGCTCGGCAGCTGCTGCTGCTGCTGCAGCTGGCCATAGCCGCGTTGGCATTCCCGCTGCCCGCAAGAGTGTCCTTGTCCGATCTTTGACCCATTTTACCGTTTGCTCTGCATGTCCATTGCTTTGCGGCATACTGGGTTCTGACCATGTACCCAGGATACCCTGCTCACGCAGCCAGGTTTTGAACAAGTTGTTATAGAACTCGCCCTTATCCGCGTGGAATCTATACACAGGCAGTCCGTGTCCTTGTAGGTACAGCAAAATATCCTGTAGAGCTGCACGCACTGTTTTGGACTGATTATTCGGAAGGGCTGTGGCGAAGATCAAGTAGGTGAGCTCAGGCGCCACACAATCGCCATGCTGCATGGTCACATCACCTGAATGATCTTCTTCTCCGGGATCCTCCGCCTGCTCATCACCATCATCCTCCTCTTCTTCGGGGTCCGACATCACATAATCCCGAAGTTCGTCCAGGGCCTCTGCGTCTAGCTGAGCTCCTGCATCCGGAAACTCCATCACCTCAACCTCATTTGTGGCTGCCTGCTTGCCCTTCTTCTCGTCAAACGGGTCCCCAAACAAGTCCTCATCTGGGTCATTGCTGTGCTCCTCTGTGGTTTCCACTGAAGCACCTTGCACTTTAACCAACCCATCATTTTCTGGAGGTAGCTTTCCACTGTAGGCCTCTATGAATGCTCTCGGGACCATGTACTTTGCCACCAAGAGGTACTTTAGGTTTCTTCCCCAGAGTCCCTTTAGATGTTGAATCCAGGCCCTTTGATAGTGGTCCCGCCACATCTGCTGTTAAGACATATGTATCTGGATGATGTACTCGACGATGCTGGCGACCGGTTCCACGTGACATAACACATGTTGCACAATCACGCCGATATACTGCATGATTTGTATCGACGTGCTGTTTCCATTGTAAGGGTGTCATAGCTTGTAGCCTTGGGGTACATCGCGAAGATCGCTCCCAGAAATTCATGGCCACAACCACAGCATTGACGAGACCTGGAGACCAAACATGATCACTGTCCCCTCGCTCAGGCATTGGATCATCCTCATCAACGCGCAGATTCTCCAGTGACAGCAAACTATGGATGTTGGTGCCCAGAGATGTTCGATTTCTTGTAGGACTGCCCATTGCACCCTGATCAAAAGATATTGTGCACAACTCGGCTTCCTTCTCAAACGCCTTCCACATACGCGTTTCCCAGAAGCTGTGACTTGCGTCCACTGTGTTGGAACCCACCATCGCTAACCACCTTGGCTTCTGTACTCGTTCCCAATACTGGATTGAGTGATCCCAACTAGCACCTGCCCCTGGATCTCGTAGAATCCGGCTGTCCTCAATCGACTGTTGAATGCGCTGCTCGATCTCCTCCTTTTCCTTTGGAAGCCTGCCCTCTGGGTACTCTAACATAAAGCCAACATCCCGGTTCTTATTCACAGCACTGCGATCTGCTTCTCGCCCCACTTGTGCCACGACAAACAACCA